TATTTTACTTAATATTTCAATATTAAGTTTTAATATTTTATATTATACTTTAATATTTTTAGCTTACTGTTGTTTTAGGATAATAAAAATTTCACATAATCCAGAATTGTGTCTTTGTGAATATATAATTTGTAGAAGAAATGTCCTAAATTACAACATATTACTTTGAAGCATTTTTGGTTCAGATTGCATGATGAGATTACTATATTTAGAATTTTCTAGTATGTTATTTTAATAGTATGTTAACTTGTTTGTTGGTAATGTGTAAGCTCTATACCTTTTAAAGGGATATCACCTGCTAGGACATTTTGGATTTGCTAATTATACTCAATTTTGAGATGGTAGGCTTGTGATTTGGCAGGCTTTGCTATTTGTCTTATGTTAAATGATTGATGGTCTAAGTCTAGTTCCTAATGGGCTTCTGTTTATTTCTGTTGAGGTTGGAATTAATAGGTCTCAGCAAAGATGCCAAGGACTGACCTGGAATAGACTCTAAATTAATTTTCAGCTTTGAAGATGTTCCTTCTAGGTCAGGATTGAGGCCAACTAGTAGCACAATGGAATGGAGCAGATTTATTGTAACTGCTGTGCTTTTTCCTCCCTGCTAATTAGAGGGGGCTATCAAAACTAATCAAAGATATTAAATAAATTCATTAGTTAGAAGGTTAGCAATATCTAGGATCTCACTTGGAATATTTAAAGCTCAAACCACCTATATTAAAGATAGATAGAGGAGGAATTTTCAATAGAGTTCATAAGCAGTTATGTGGATTCCAAATTATAGCCATTGCTTTAATATTCAGAGACTAGCTGTATGGTTTCCCTTCCCCTCAATTTTATTGTGGAATAACTGACAAATATAATTGTATATATTTGTACAATGTGATTATCACATATATATTGTGGAATGATTACTAATATCAAGATAATACACCTATCACCTCACATAGTTATCTCTCTCTTTTTTGAGAATGATTAAGATCTACTCTTAGTAACTTTCAAGTATACAACAGTGTGTTACTAACTATAGTCCCCATGCTGTACATTAGATCCTCCGAACTTATTCTTATTATAGCTGAAAGTGTGTACCCTTTAACCTACATCTCTTTTATCTGTGCCATCTATTTGGTCCTTCTTTGCTATTCTTGCAGTTACCAAAGAATAAGTAGAAATAAGAGAAAACATTTGGGGCAGAAGAGCCTGAAATAAATGTGTAAAATTAGGTTTTAGTATTATGAGTGGTATTATATTAGGTATAGTATTTTCACCCAGATAATTCAAGAGCTTCCTGCATCTGTTTGCCATTTGAAGTACAAGCATAGAATATTTATACTTGAAGGAACCATAGAAAGGATTGGTGGGTTCAACCCTGATTTATAGATTAGGAAAGTATTTGGACAATTCACAGTTTCACTAGGCCTCACTCAATATTCTCATAATATTATCCTATTCTTTGTGATAAGTGACTGTGACTGTGATAATATGATGTAATAATTCTGTTTGAAAACAGTGACTGTGATAAGATGATGTAATAATTCTGTTTGCAGATGTGTTTTTGAAATTTTTAGTTGGGGGCAGTCTAACGTTTCATTAATTGTTGTTTTATATACTTTTTTATATACTTTTTTATATACTTTTTTTTATATACTTTTAATTGTTGTTTTTAATACTCGACCAAGCTCATGGTAATGAAGTAGAGCATAGCTGTATAAACATCAGGAGCATGAAAGAGGTAGAAATAATTAAAACATAGGATTTCTTATTTCTGCTGCCTGGGTTTTATTAAAATTTTTGTTCCTCTACTGCTTGACTTCTTGTAGACTTGGTCTAGTTTATTGCTAGCCCTCGACCTGGGAATCTATGCTATTTAACTTTGTTGTGTTATACAATATAGAAGGCAAGTGGAAAAATAAAAAGGAGCCTTGTGCTAAATGAGATTTGGACTCTCCCAGACATCTTTATCTAGTGGTGCAAACCAACCTGCTAATGGAAACACCGAAAGTCCTGTGCCCGTATCTTAGCTTCCAGATATAATGTGGCCGTGAAGTGGCAGGGTCAGGAAAAAGTATCAGTTCATTTATAGAAACCTTTCCTGCTGTTTTGATATCTGAAAATTGAAGGCTGAAGCTTTAACCACTGACAGTGAAGATGTTGTCATGATGCTAATGCTCAAGCAGGTTCCATTCTATCAGTTATGCTGTTGTGGAACTCTATCCCTTCGTCCACCACAGGTGACACAAACATAAGATGATGCCATGACCTGGAAAATAACTTCTTCTCAGATTGAATGCTTAGGTGACAAAGTGACAATATATGTATTTATGGACTAGGCAGTAGTAGGCCCCTTTGATAATAGAATTGAGAAACTGCATTGCTACTCTAATTTGGTCTGCCCCTAAAGTAGGTTACTAGTTTCACTTTAGGGCTAAAGTCCATTTAAATAAACATGAGAACCCTGGTTGAAAATGCCTCCAAACTCCTAACAGTGACTTGCCCTGACTAATGGAGCTGAGCCGCAGGCATTTGCACCCTGCATCACTTCCTTAATCAACCAACCTGCAGGCTTTTAACACATGATAATTGGAGACTAAAATGTTGAGGTCAGGGAAAAACTGGTCCCCAGCTAAAGCTGAGTATGTTTGGCATTCTGCTGATACCTTCCTGAGGCACCAACCCACTGACCCCAGCTTTAGGAAACATAATAATTTTCAACCCTAAGGACAAGAAATGTGTTTTGGGTCTTTTAACTTGATGTTATTACATCAAATTTAGTTTTGCATTATCTGTGAACTGTCATAACTAATTGCCTTAGTTTGTGAAAATGTGGCTTTAAAACAGAAGAATATAGATGACTAGTTACAAAAATTATATTACTAATGTCTTACATTTGTAAAATGATTTTTCATGGATTTTATCTGATTTTCCTAATAATACAGCAGGACAGGCCAGAAGATTTTTCTTTCTTTCTTATTTTACTGATAAAAAAACTGAAAGCTTGAAAGGCTGAGAGGTTTTCCCAGGGACACTACAAAGCTGATACTTGATATTCTGGCTTCTTGTCCACTGCCTTTCCACTGTGCTGTACGGGCTGTCTGAGAGAGACAGACTTCTACCAGCCAGCCAGCCAGTCAGTCAATCAGCTAAAAAGGACAGAGCACAGAGTATCCAAAACACTGTACTAGTAATTGTGTCAAAGGTATATATTGTTTTTCTCTTTGTAAATCTAAAAAGACTAGGTAAATAATTTCTGTTGATTTAAGAGTATGTAATATAGCAAATTTATAAATTTATTATTCTGAACAATTGAGATTAAAAAAAATTATATTCCATGTTGTACAGAGGCATATCATTTAAAATATTTTTGTTAAGATTTTCAATAAGACTATTATTTTAATTGTTTTTTGATGAGTAAAATGACTCAACTTCCTGAAAGACTAAATATGTGTTCTCTCTCTCTCTCTCTCTCTCTTTCTCTCTCTCTCTCTCTCTCTCTCTCTCTGTGTGTGTGTGTGTGTGTGTGATGTAGCCCAGGTTTCTGCATTTGTTAAAAATAAAGTTCCGTTTAGTAATCAGAAAGGTAAATCATTTTTGGTCAAGGAAAGGGAAACATGAACAAACATAGAATGAGAAAAGAAAGAAAGAAAGAAAGAAAGAAAGAAAGGAAGGAAGGAAGGAAGGAAGGAAGAAGGGAAAAACTGGACAAATAGAAGCCTGAGATCAAGGGTTTTGTCAAGTACTTATTCTGTAATTTTAAATGTCAGATAATATACAGACATTAACTTTGCTATTCATGGACATCTTAAGCATATTCTGTGTTTCCTATAATTTCTATATTGTGTTAAGTTTTTGCTCCCTGAAATCTTCTTTCTTTTCCATAAATGTAATTTCACATCTGGTATAGCATTTGCAGTACCTGTGTTTCACTCAGCCTATAGGACATTCCACAATATTTATGAAAGATCAGTCTGTCCAATTATTTTCTGACTAAAACTCTAAAAATCAAAGATCAGAAAGCTGAGTTTTAGACTTGAAAAGTAAGCATAGGCATCACCTTATTAATGCAGGTGTAATTAATATATTACTTTCACAAGTTACCAAGACCTGAATACTGAAGAATGAGCATCGTAAGGATAGCTAATATTATGGTGACCATACCTGGCCTCAGAAAACTTAAAGACAAACAGAGATCACTCACCAGGAAAAATTTTAGAGAATTTTACTTAACATATGGTGTTTACTATATAATAAAGTCAGACACTAACCTCAATTAAACTTGATTCTAAGGAAAAATTTCTCATAAACATTTTTGATTTGTGCTTCAACTATTTAAAAACAAGATGTGTGATTGGTGCATTCAACTAGAACTCTACATGTTCAGACATGATAGTATTATTACCACAGTTCAGGGAATTATCATTTAAGTAGATTTTTGTGGGGTGCTACAAAGACCTAACCATTAGATAAAACATTGAAAAATTACAAAAAGGGTATACTGGCAGTTTCTCATTGACTGTATGCTGATAGGAGCACAGATTGAATTAATTGGTGGAATAAAAAATTGTCATAGTAGTTCTCTGTAATTAAATAAAAGGCAGTGTTGATCAGAAGGGAAGAGCTGGAGATGAGCATTAAGTCTGAATTCTAAATTTTAGGACAGGACATGGACTGATGGAAGTCACTCAGAGTCTGGGCACAGCTGCAGAATGTCCAAGAGAAGTGCCCATAATTTAGCATGTCAGGAATTCCAGTCAATTAGATGGACTACATTGGCAAGATATTATAGTGATTAAAACTCTTGTCCTATTTATTTGCTTGTTTATTTAATTTTTGTGCCTTGAAAAGTAAGCATAGGATTACTTTTAGTAATTTAAAAAACTAAAATCCTAAGTAGATCTTAGGATTCTTAGGTTACTTAAAGGGACATGACAACTATTTGGATGAGATTTTCTCAATCACATGATGGTAAAACAAGTTCTTATAGTTAAAGCAAATATAAAAAATTTTTTTTTTCCTTCAGCTAAGACAGGAGATGATTTATTGTGCACGTTACATTCAGCCACAACTGAGAACAGAACCAGTCCAGAGTGTCAGGGGTCCGGGGCAAAGATCCAAGAGAGACTTTTTGGAAGAGCAGGGTGGGACTCTCAAAAGGCGGCCGCGGTGTTCAGGTGGCCCGTATGCATGTTCCAGATCCCACGGAGATGATGTAGGCCGGCAGTCCGACAGCTTGGACCGGCCCCGGGCCTCTGGCCTCCCTCTTCTGCTCCCATGGCTTCCCCGGTGCACAGCTGCGGTTTACTTGGACCTCTGCCTCATCTTTCTTCTTTTGCGCTTCAGCCTGCGCATTCGCTTCTTCCTCCACTTGGCTCTCATGGCGCAGAGGTTTCTAGGAAGATGGCGCTAAGGCCGAGAGCTAAAGCAAATATAAAAGTTTTACAAAGAATTTTAAAAGACTAATATTATAGCCTTCTCCATTCTTCTAACTCCATGCCCTCCCCTGGTTATTAGGGCGACCCATTTAACAAAAGCTTTTCCAAGGACTGAATTATTCTTTGTTACTTACAGCTTTTCAATGTCATAGAATCCTGAGTTATTGAAAGTTTACATATAGATTTCATCAGAGACAGCTGATGATACCAGAAATATTCAAAAGTTGGGGTGTCAGAAACAACAAAACAAACTTAATAAAACTCACTATCTGGCCTTAAACTTAGCTCTCTGCCTTGGTATGACAACTAACGCCTTTAACGCCTAGCAAAGACCTGGAAGAGGGGACTCAGTTCTCCACTTCTTTTCAATATTAAAAATTTAATTTCTGTGAACTCAGACATATAAAACCTTAATTTGGCAATATTGTCCAACATTGACAATGTCTAAAATCAATCTATGGCAATGAATCCCAGGCAACTGCTCTGGATTTTAGTCTCAAAATGAGTGGGATTAGTTCAAGGCTCATATGGAAACATGGGAGCAATCATAAATGTAATTATATAGAAATGTATGATTTGAGGATTGAAGTAGTCACTGACATTGCCTTGAAGATGATGAGAATTCACTTTTTTACATATACTGAAGTGAATTTTTGGCAGCAGGAATCAAGAATGTCTGCTGGGCATCAAGAGTCTAAGGAGCTTTGCTTGTATCTCACCTCTCAAGGTTATCTGTGTAACCTCTCAGATTCCTGCCAAGGAGGTGTATCAGTGTTTCTTAGCTTTTTTCTTTGACTCAAACGCTTTCATTAAGTTTATAATTTTTCAAAGTACCCTATAAATTTAAAAAAGGTTAAATGTGCAATATATAATACGAGATTTTAAAGGCAAGTAACATTTTCAGCTCCATATGTCTTTAAAGATTACTGTCTAAATTTCTATTCTTTTTCTTAATATTGGTTTTAAATACATTGTACATTAGCCATGATATATGTAAATATACCTTTTGGCTTTATAAGTGTTTGATTTTATTTAATTTTCCTGAATTTTATTGTACGTGAAAAAGCATAATTTATTGATGAAACAATTAAAATAATATTATGTAATGTTTCATTTGGAACTGAATAGATTTAAATCATATAGTAAAATCTAAATTCCTATTATGCACCAAACTTTGACAAAAATTGTTTTGTACCTATATTTAGAATTCTTACATTTTGTTTTTAAAAATTGCTAGCTTATTTTGGTAGTTTTTGCTTTTTGTTCTAAATGGCAGAATAAAAGAGAAGGCTTCAAGCTGCTATTTCCAAGCACTTATGCACAAATAATACATTGAGAGTTCAGAAGGTCTGTTTTCCTCTACCAAATTATAAGTCAAATGGAATAAAACATTGCTTTATTTTCTCTTTTCAACAATGTTTTTTTTTTTTTTAAATTACTAGAGGTACATTAATGTCCCATTTAAACGTTTTGACCAGGCATGCAGTTTATTAATTCAGTGTTGAATTAATTTTTCAGAATTATTATTTTTATATTTTTAATTAGGATTACATGTGGCAAACAATAGAAACCTATTCTTGATAACTCAAGCAAAAAGAATATTGACTGGAAGAGTATAGGGTGACTCACAAAATCAAAGGAAGCTCAAGAACCAGGTTTGAGAAAGAGCAAGAATCTGGGGAGCTCTTAGAATTTCATGAGCAGTAGCTGAAGTGTCATCACAGTGATGAATCAGCTTTGGTCATGCTTTCCTGTCCTTGGCCATTTAGGTAAAATTCAAAGTCCCAGGAAAAAGAATTGGGTTGGCTTATTGTGGGTCACATGCTCATTATTTAGTGCTTAGCTTCAGGGAAGTGGGACATCTTGATTGACAGTCCCACTTACATGGTACCCATTAGGGAAGAGGTACGGATGTTCTCCCATAAGGAAATTATGGTGCTATCATCAGAAGATGCTGGGTGAACATGAACAACACTTGTTAAAATGTATGTGTTTCCATCTCCAAAGAGTCTATTATAGATAAGTTAAATTACACAATATTTGACTAGGAATAACAATTATTTAAAGCTGAAGAACAAGTAAAACATTCAAGGAGTAGTATTAACCTGGATAGTAAATTGACTGAACGAGTGAGTCATGAGAATTATCTATCTGTCTCTTTGACTAACCTGAATGTTCATTTGATAAACTCTTAGAAGCTTAAAAATGCTTCTGATTTAAAGGAAAACATATAAACAACAATTTTACTTATCAATTTATTAACACCTCCCATGTAGCAGACATTTGCTACATTTGCTACATTCCCTAATGGGTAGCAGACATTTGCCATGTTAGGCTTTTTGGCATTCATTGTACTTTCTCATGGCAATAGTATCCTAGTTTTCCATTTGTCTCAGGAGAAAACAACTTCATTCCTAGCTCCAGGGATAGGTCCTGACTGACTGAAGTTCATTCTCCTCATCACAAAGATTATGTCCCCTGCACTAACCTGGGCTGTAGAAAAACTAGAATATATTTTTTTGAAAACTTCTAGAAAAAGAGTTCTAGTTTCTCCTCAGAATTTATCTGGAGTGTTACTTTCTCTGGATGGTATGGGCACAGATATGAGGCCTGCTGTTGCTGCAGCCATTTTGTTACAACAAAAGATGTAAAGTCTGCCATCAAAGTTGACATACAAGGAGAGTAAATTCAAGAGAACTGCAGAGAAGTGGAGTTGGTGCACAAAAGATCACTCTTTACCTGAAGTGGTCATTACTGGTGGACCTTAAATGAGCCCCAAATGTATTTGATCTTATATGCTAGTTTGAGTTGGCATTGTTATTATTGCATTTGAAATGGTACACTGCTAGAAATCCTTTGTGAGTCCTAGGGTCTATGAATTAGATTGAAAATTGTTGGATTCCATGGTATCTATGGTCAGCTCTAACAGAAGCATTTTGTGCTTTTTCTGGTAATAGGGGGTAAATTGAAGGCAAGTTTGAGAAATGCATGTTGAATGATTGAACATGTATTCTGCAATAGATTGCAGCCTTACTATTGAAGTATATTTAGTGTTTTTTGTTTTTGTTTTAGCTATTTTTAATTCAGAAAGAGGAACTTTTGTGATCCATTTCTGTTTTTTGTTCTGTGTGGTTGAATATTTGTGACTTTCATGGCTTTTTCTTTAAACACATCATCTTTATGCAAAGTTTCAAATTTTATTAGTAATCTCAATTTTTGTCTTTTGTTGGGCAATAGGAGATTCCAAAGCATAAGAGGTAGCTAATAAATGCATGTTTAATTAAAGTTATGATTTTATCAATAGCAAATTCCCAAAGCAGTAGTTCACGTTACAATCAACCGGATCATTTTAAAATAGTGGTTCTTAAAGTTCACAGTACATCAAATCACCTGGTAGACTTGTTGAAACAGATGTCTTATGCCAATCTCATTTCTGATACAGTAATTCTAGGTGCTCGAGATTTTTACATTTCTAAATAGTTCCCAGGTGATACTGATGTTATCAAGCTGGAGACTACTGTTCTAAAAATAGTATCACATGATCTCACTCATATGTGGAATCTAATGGACAAAATTAGACCCAGAGACAAAAAGCATGGAACAGACTATTAAATCTCAAAAGGAAGGCAGTGGAGAGTGGATGGATAGAAAAAGATCAACCAAAGAACTTTTATGCATTTATGCATAATCTATGAACACAGACAATAGGGTGGTGAAGGCATAGGCAGGGAGGAAGTGGGCTAGCAAAAATCAAAGTGGGATAAAGGGGACACTTGTAATACTTTTGACAATAAGGATTAAAAAAAATTATCCTAGATTGTGTAAATCAGAATCTCTTTGGTGGAGGTAGTTTTTAAGATCCCCCAGATAATTCTGATGGAGAATCAGGTTGAAAATCACTGTACTAAACAGAAAGAGGATGGCTGGCTTTTATCTTCTGATTAAGGATGTACAGAGGTCATTTTATTATTCCAATTAACTAAACTCCTTGACCGACAGGTACTATCCACTAGGAAGAGCTAACAAATTTAAATTAAAAAAAAATACAAGGGGCTGTGGGGAAGGGAGAAATGGGGAGTTATAGGTGAATGAACACAGAGTTTCAGTTGGGGAAGATGACAAAGTAAAAAAAAAAAAATCACTATTGTTCATTATTTAGAAGAATCACAGTCAAGTATTAACTATCTCTTGACCCAGGAAGATCTGCAGATCACCTCAAAAGAACATCTGAAATTATTTTATTCAGAAAACAAATGGTCATGCATGGAATTAGGAACTGCTGGAGGGACAAAGTTATCAGAATCCAGTGGCCTGAGTTACCCAAGGGAAGCTGGAACAAGGATGGGATTTTCAGTTGGTAGCTGGTGTAGGGGTCCAGGATGAGTCACCCCAAGATGCACCTCTGGATATGCAGATTGTTTTCAGCTAAAGGTAACTTTAGCTTCAGGCTCAAGATAAACCTCTGCTCCTCTCTCCTTTTTTTTTTTTTTTTTTTTTTTTTAATTTTTATTGATTTCAGAGAGGAAGAGAGAGATAGAAACATTGATAGTGAGAATCATTGATCAGCTACCTCCTGTATGTCCTGAGGACCAGAGAAGAAACATAGGGCTGCAAAGGAGCAAAAGTATAAAGTTTAATTTAATTGTTTATTTTTTTATCAATGATACCCAGTGGTTTAAAAAGTCAAAAAAAATTTTTTTACTGGATTTTTAATACAGTTTTAGTAATCCCTGTCTACCTTTCTGAATTCCAGATTCCTACTCCTCATAGATATTCTAACAATTTCTTCTGGAATCTACTTTTTATTTCCAAACAGCATACCTGTATTTCTAAATAGCATGCCGATGTTGTTATATCTTGTGTTTTTCTATTTTTATTTATCTTTGACTTCTTTCTGTGAAAGATGAAAACATATCTCTTCTCCATTCTTTCCTCACTGATGAACACCTTCACATATTTCTTTTCTCAACAATTTCTTTGTGGATATCAAAGTTTTATTAGAAAGTTTTCATGTTTACATTATTATGACTATGTGAACATTATTTACAGCTGTACTATGTAGTTTATAAGACTTACATTTTCTTTATCATAGATTAAAAGAATTCCTTTGAGGTAATAATTATCTTGCTTTTGAATTTTACTACTAATTCAAAGGTTTCTTATTTTCTGTTATACTTATTGAAACAATCTGGGTTTTTTTTTCCTTTTATTGTTGTTAAGAATTTTTCTTGTGCCAAAGAATTTGTCATAAGCCCTCATGTTTATGTGGTTTCTGCTTACTCATCCTATTACAAGGTGTTTGCCAACAGATAGGGTCTGTGGCTAGCTTCCTATCTGGTATATGGCTTATTGACTGTCAGTAGAGTTACCTTTTTAGATTTCTAGTTGTGAAGCAGATTAATGTTCATGAATTCTAGACTATTTAAATGTTGCAGGTTGGCTGAATTGCAATGTTTTCCAAGACATCCTAAATATCTGTTCAATACTTTGAATCAAGGAAGTAAAAGCCAAATTAGAGTCCCCATAGTTGACTAACAGGATTGTTATTTTCATTTCTGCCCATAGTACCTTACTCGTTTAAAGCTATATCTGAAAGTATATCTTTTGTCTCCACCACCTCCTCTTTCTCTTCCTATACACACACAAACGCATACCGCATACACTTTTGTTGTGTGTTTTGGAAGTATCATTCTCTAAATAAAGGGAGGTAATAATTAAGGCCAGGTTGGAGTGTAGCATGTTCTTACCATGCAAAGATTGTTTGTGTACAGTGGCTAGCACTGATCCTGTGTCTTTGATCTGCACGATGTACAGAGAAGGATAAAACAAAGCTCTTCCTATAGTCTTTCGTTTTGTCAATTTTCCCTATTTAAAGTGGCTAATTATGATTATGATTCATCTCCGTAGCTCCTGCAGTCAACGGAATTTTCTCTGTTTCTGGTTGTAAGATGATTGTCATTTTTAGTTTTTGTTGTCCTCAATTTTTGTCTTTTCTTTGCCTTCATGGGTATTTTAGCAAGCTGTTGGGACAGTCTACAGTCTGGACTGCTAGTCAAGTGCCAATTTTTAAAATATTTCTTTGGATTCCAGTTTTTAAGCATTTATTGTTGAAACTATTACAGATGTCTTCCATTTCTCTGCCTTTACCCACCTCCATCCATGGGCTATGCATATATGTTCTTTGGCTAATCTTTTCACCTTCTTTCAGACAGGCCCCTCAGCCCCTTCTCCTATCTCTGTCAGTCTATCCCTCTGTGTCTATCCCTCTGTGTCTATTTTGTTTGTCAGTTTATTTTGTTCATTCACTTTCACAAATAAGTGAAATCATATGGTATTTGTCTTTTTCTGTCTGGCTTCCCCCCTCCCCCCCCCACACACACTTAGCATAATAATCTCCAGGTCCATCTATGCTGTCTCAAGAGTAAAAGATACTTTTTTTTTTTTTTTTTTTTTTTTTTTTTTTTTTTGCAGCCAAGTAGCATTCCATTATGTAAATATACCAGGATTTTAATCCACTCCCTACTGATGGTCACTTGGGCTGTTTTCAGATTGTGGCTATTTAAATAACGCTGCTATGAACAAAGGGGGGTATATATTCTTCCTGATTGGGGTCTTGGGGTTCTTATGATATATTCCCAGAAGTGGGATCATGGGTCAAAAGGCAGTTCCACTTAAAAAATTTATATATATATATAAAATTGATTTTAGAGACAGAGGAAGGGAGAGAGAAAGAGAAATAGAAATATTGACGAGAGAGAAACATTTATCACTTGCCACCTGAATACCTCTACTGGGGATTGAGCCCAAAACCTGGGCATATGCCCTGACCAGGAATTCAACCAATAACCTCTTGGTGCAGCAGACAATGCTCAAACCACTGAGCAATACCAGCCAGGCACACTTTTAATTTTTTGAGGTAACTTTAAATTCTTTTTTGTCATTGGCTGCACCAGTCTAAATTCCCACCAATGGTGCACTAGGTTTCCATTTTCTCCATATTCTCACCAGTACTTGTTTGTTGATTTATTGATGGTAGCTATTCTGACAGGTGTGAGGTGATATCTCATTGTGGTTTTAATTTGCAGCTCTCTGATGATTAGTGGTATTGAGCATGTTTTCATGTCTATTGCCTATCCGTATGTCCTTTATGGAGAAGTGTCGATTCAGGTCCTTGCCCATTTTTTTAAATTGGGTTGTTTGTCTTCTTGGTGTTAAGTTCTTTATATATTTTGGAAATTAACCTCTTATCAGATATATCATGGGTAAATACATTCTCCGTGCAATAGGTTCATTTTTCATTTTTTTGATGGTTTCCTTTCCTGTGCAAAAGCTTGTTAGTTTGATGTAGTCCCATTTGTTGATTTTTCCTTTGTTTCCCTTGCCCTAGGAGATATATCAGTAAAAATATTGCTCTAAGAGATGTCTGAGATTTTGCTGCCTATGTTTTCTTCTAAGATTCTTATAGTTTAGTGCCTATTTAACTTCTTTTAAAATGCTAAATGAAGTCATTAATATCTGAGAGGGAAAAAGATGTACTTATGTAGCTGTGTGAACTTGGCAAGTTATTCACTCTCATTAAGAGGTATATCTTTCTCCATCCTTTCTGTTGCTTTGGATAATAGAATACCACAGAAGCAACATTTTGCCAGCTCCTAGTCTAGACCCTGGGAGGTCTTGCCTGCTTTCTTTCTGAACTCTTCTCATTTCCATGTGAATAAGCCTGCTCAATGGCAAGAGGAAAGTGACCCAGGTGTCCCCATTACTCATCCTGACAGTGAACTATCTGTTGGACACATGAATGGAGTCATATTAGGTTATCCAACTCCCAATTGACCAGCCAGCATCTGACTGCAGATGAATTAGTAATCTCCAAAAAGACCAAAAGAACTACCAGTTGAGCCTAATCCAAACTGCCAAACTATAGAATTGTGAGCTCAATAATCATTGCTGTTTAAAGCTACTAATAGGGTAGCTTGTTATGCTGCAATAACTGATATATAGCTTTCTGTTGACCTCAGAATGAATTGGACCTCTCCTACCTTTCTGATGTTAACTTCTCTATTATCTTCCTTGCTCACAGAATTTCTTTATAAGCTTCTAACCAACCAAATTTATTCCCCATGTTAGGGTTTTACACTTGAAAAAAAAAATCTACCTAGAAAATATTTTTTCTGTTACTTCTACCAAGAAAACATTTCCCAAAATCTTTGTGTGACTTATGGTTTCATATAATTCAGGTCTCTGCTCACAAGTGAGTCCCTCCTAATCACTCAATCTAAAGAAGCCTACTCAGATACTCTCTAATGTACCTATCAATAGATTTTATTTTCAATCTGTTTATTGATATTTCTTTTATACTCTTCTCCCAAACTCTAGAATTGTGTTGTTAATAGAAATACAATGCAAGTCATATAATTTTAAACTGTTGGGAGAAATGTAAATTGATCTAGTCAATATGGAAAACAGTATGGAAGCCTCTTTAAAAATTAAAAAAAAATATGATCTAGCAATATATTCTGTGAATATATCCAAAGGTAAAATAAAACAAAATGTGGATTCAAAAACATATCTACTTTTATGTTAGTAGTAGCATTATTTACAATTGCCAAGACATGGAAGAAACCTAAGTATTCATCAATTTGTGAATGGATAAAGAAGTTGTGATATACAGGGTGTCCCCCTAAAATGTATACACTTAACAGTTGATAGCTCAGTTGATGTTTGTTTCTTTTCAGATTTAACCCATTGGAATTAATAATTATTCATAGTGTGTATACTTTGTGGGGGACAGCCTATATATATACCTACATAAAATGGAATATTATTTAGTCCTGAAAAAAATAAGGAAATCCTACCATTTGCTACAACATGGATTGACCTTGAAGGCATTACTCTAAGTGAAATAAGTCAGACAGAAAAAGATAAATATTTTATGATATCACCTATATGCAAAATCTAAACAAAAACCAAAACTTCCAAACTCATAGAAAAAGACATCAGACTCATCTGATAGGGTAGAAGAAAGAGGAATTGAGGAAAGTGGTCAAAAGGTACAAACTTCCAGTTATAAGATAAATAGGTATTGGGGATATAATATACAACATGATGGCTATTGCTGGCACTGCTATATGATATATGGGAAAGTTGTTAAGAGAGTTAATCCTAAGAATTCTCATCACAGGAAAAAATGTTTTTCTTTGTTCTTTCTTTTTCTTTTCATTGCATTTCTATGAGAAGATGGATGTTAGTTGAATGGTAATCATTTCACAATATATGTAAATCAACTCATCATGCTGTATACCTTAAACTTATACAGGTTTCTATAGTGGACCAAATAAGGAGCTTTTCAATAACAACCAAGAGAAATAGTTTGAGAGTGGTAGTGAGCACGGCAAAAAAGACAAGAAAGTAGAATTGAGGGAATTTGCAGAATTGTTTGGAAGGACTAAAGTTTACAACTTTGGCAATGAAATACATAAAACTGGTTTTCATGGAGACAAGTAGTAAGTGATATGAAGGTTGGTGGGATTTAATACAATGCAGTTGGTTTGGGTCATGTTGAAACTATAATACATGTAGTACTAATGCATTATTTGTGATTTATTTATTATTATTATTTTAATATATATTTTTATTGATTTTAGAGAGGAAGGAAGAGGGAGAGAGATAAAAACATCAATAATGAGAGAGAATCATTGATGGGCTGCCTCCTGCATGCCCCACACTGGGATTAAGCCCGCAACCCAGGCATGTGCCCTGACTGGGAATCAAATTGTGGCCTCCTGATTCATAAGTTGATGCTCAACCACTGAACTATGCAGGCTGGGCTGTATGCGATTTATTGATATAAAACCCAGGCACGGAGACAAAGATTTGAGAAACCTTAAATCATTGGTAGTCATTGAAGGTATAGGCACAGATAAACTTTTCTAAAAGAGTGTGTACAAAGAAAAAAATAGTTGACAATGGAATATTGGGGAATAATAATGTTGAGGAGAGAGAATAGTATGGAGGGAGATCATCTACGTGAGAAGGAATAAGTAGGGAAAATCTCGGAACCTTCAGAGGATAGAACTTTAAGGAAGGAGTAATTTATCATGAAAAATGCCAAAGAGAGCTCAAGTAAGATAAGGAATAGAATAATACTTCGAATTTGAAATTGGTATATGGTATCAGCAACTGACAGGAACAAGCTCAGCATAATAGAGGGGGTGAAAACAGAGTGACAGTGTGAAAAAGAACGAGGGGAGAAGAAAAGGAGATAATGACTCTGGGTTCTGTAGGGAAGGGAAGAGAGGATAGCTGTAGGGGCACACAGGAGGAGACAGAGTTGTTTTAACATTGGAACTGATGATTACCATTTTACCTTGAGGAAATCTGCAAGTGAAGAGTGAATATTTGATGACAAAAGCCCCTGATGTGGGAGAGGAAATGGGACTTGGCACAGGTGGCAGGAGTTTCAATTCTGTTGAAACTTTATACAGCTCCACAACAATAGGGTAACTTATATGTGTTCTTCATCAATTAGTAATCTTCATTTATAACCAATGAGAATTTCAAGAAATGATTAATTTTCACCACACTTTCAGAAAGAATAATATCTTTAGTTGTGACCCTCATAAAATCTCCAGAGTCCCTTTTCTCCTCTACTCATTCTTCAGATTTTATGACACATTAGAATCTGTTCTCCATTAATTTAGCCAAAATTATGCTTTATGTCAGGAATATGGTG